AATTTAACATAATTTGATATAATGTTGAAAAAGAAAGAAAATGATAAGATTGAATGAAAGAATGTCAAAACAATAAATAATCATTGTAAGAGAATTGATAACATACGTTATCAAAATTGATTGATTGTTACCACTTAGAAGACCATCATAAGCAGCTTGTGCAATAGCATATACATGAGGTGGTAAATTACAATTCTTATCAATTGTATGCATATATGCTTGCATAATTTCTTTCGTATAAATTGGTATATCCTTCCATGGATTAACAACAACACAAAACAGACCCGAATTACTCTATAAAATTATTTAAAAATTTTTATTTAATAAATTTAAAAAAAAATTACTTATATATAAGAATGAATAAAATTAAGCAAACAATTGATGGAAAGCAAAAATGATTATAAAAATTGATAATTTATTAGAAATAGAAGGAACAAAAAAATGGTTCTTTTTTTTTTTTATTCCTTTTTTATGAATAAATTTAATAATTAATAATTTTCAATTAATGATTTAAATTGAGATAATCAATGAGAATGGAAAAAAAAGAAGGGAAACATGAATAAGTTGTGCTTGATATCGTGAACGAATAGCTTCAAGAATGCATGCATCGTTTAATTCGCTTAAATTACATAAATCTTCCACAAAATACGATACACTTGGTAAGTTCACTTCTGTTTTTGATATGATACGCTAAAAATTTTTGATTAAACTTTAAAATTTAAGCAAAAAATCAAAAATTACATAATTTGAAAGAAACTTTCAAATTGTAAAGCATTTAATTAAAAAAAAAAGAAAAAAAATTAAAAAAAATCATTAACCTTTTCGAAATGACCATTTTCATCACGATAACCAACAGTAACATTATCATTATGTTCCTCAAGAATTGTTGCACGACGAAATTCAACATCTGGATCTGTTATCCAGACAGTTGTCTCGAAATCATTTGATGATCGACGATTTTCTGCTGACACTTGAAGAAATCTGTAAAAAATTAAATAGGAATACTAATTTAGAAATTACAAAAATTTCCTGAATAAAAGAAAAAGAAAAAGATGAAACTTTTTCTTTTCTTTTCTTTTTTTTTTTTTNTTTTTTTTTTTTGTTAATATTTTAACTAAAAAATGACGAAAAAAAAATTTATGGCTAATGTGTTGCAGACAGTTGTCGTCTTTTTAGCCAATATACCAAATGGTATTTGATCGATGTAGACTGATAAATTTTAAAATTTCATCATAAAAAAAAAACAATGAAAAATAAAAAATAAAATGGATTGAAAAATGGATACTAAACAAAGAAAAATAAAAGTGATAAATTGAAGTGAAATTCTTTTTTCAAACAATTATTTTTCATTTATTACAGATGAGTGTATTTTATTTATCCAATAAGCAAGAATATTTCGAAAGAAAAAAAAAAATTGAGAATAAAACTAACCTGAGCACTGTTGATTGCATTTTGAATATGATAATATGGTATGTGATAAGATGAGATTAGATGATATGATAATAAATTTAACACACAATGAAGTGTTTTATAATTGTATTGAAAATTTCACGCAACTGGTACAACCCTTAATAAAAGTTTGTATAAAATTTTACCAAAGTTAAGAATTTCTTTTGCCTTCGCTGGTTTTTTTAATATCAAGAAAATTTATATTTTCTAAAAATTTCTTTAATTCCAATAAATTCCAAATTGGCAACATCTAAATTATATTTTTGAAATCGTTTTATTTTGGATATTTGTTACACTTTCGCAAAATAGCATAAACAATTTTTTTTTGGAATTAAATGACACAATTTCCACTGGAAAATGGACAATTAATATTTTAGTAAGAAAAAAAAAAGTCGGTGATTATTTAAATTTCCGGAAGACTAAAGAAAAGATTTAATTAAAAGTTTACAGATCAGAACAAGTATAAGCATTTTGCTTTTTGGATAAGTATGAAATTTTCACTTGCTAGAAGAGATGAAATTTTTTGGCAGATGAGAAAAATTAATAACTTTTAATTTCGTATTAATAAATTAAAAAAAATTAATTGGTTAATTCTCTTTAATCGAATGAAATTATTAGATCTTGCCAATTTTACATAAAAGTAATAATAATCAAAATTTTACGCATAAATGAAATAAATCCTGATATTATGTACTGGAAAATATATTATTCATATTTGATTCTAATTTAAGCAATATACAATTCTCAACCTTTTCTTCCTCTTTTTCTTACAAAAATTTTTACTTTAAATTTAATACCAAAGTATTGTAATAATATATCGGGATCATTTTGCATGAATATTCAACAACTACTATACATTTTTCATCTCATAGTAAAAGCCTTATCTGATAAATATGATAAGTAATAGTAATTAGAATGTTTTATCTAATTACCCAACAATTTAATTAACCAGTTCATTAATTGCGATATTGTTATCAACAATAAATTATATGAATAAGAAAAGAAAAAGGGAGAAATGCGACGAAATTGTAGTAAAATAAAATTTTGCATTAAATTAATTCCTAAATTAATGAACTGTTATAGCAAAAAAAAAAAAAAAAGAAAATTCTATCCAATAATTTTATAAATGAATAAATAATTGTGTTAAAATATAATTTTGGTTAAATTTTTAAACGTAACAATGATAAGCAACTGCTCA